GTCATATTAATACGAGACAATATACCACAGGTGAAATCCTATAAATAACAAATCAAAATACAATTATACAATCTTAAACACTAAACAAAACAAATACAACTTAAATTTTTTTATTTTAGATACAACGCATGTTACCCGCGGTATACAACAAAAAATATTATACACAATAAATTCATCAATTTATAAAAATAAAAAATCAAATAATTAACCCGCGGTGTACCGCGGGTCATATCCTAGTCAAATACATTCATCGAGTCTATAATGCGTAGATTTTGATATGTGTGATATTATAAATACAAGCGGAGACAGAAGATACGATATGGATCTCTAAATCTGGTTTGCGGCAAGAAATTAATTTTATAAACAAAGTCTGATAAAGTTATGTATTAAGCTTTCTCAAACACACATTGCACTCGATGTACAGACGATATTTTTCTTTTGAATTTAATTTAACATTATATTCAAAAAAAAAAAATCATATGTGTGTGTTTACTTTGTGTAGTTTGACGTGTTTATGGTTTTGAAAATATGTGGAAAAATATCCCCAACACAAATATCAAATGCATAATTATGCATAAACACTCATGTATTCTTATTTCACATCAAATGAGAAGAGTCAAATGCAAAAGTATTTCACATCAAATAAGAAACAAGTTGGCATCAAGGATTCTCATTTCACATCCATCTCAACAACGGAGGGAAGAGTCATTTCTCTCAACTTGGTTCCGGGTATATTCAATTCTCCAACAACATTCCTTGACCGATGTCGTCCATACTTGATTAAGCCAAGTATCATCATTCATGCTTACTTGTTGGGTTTCCCTTTAGCCTTGCATTCCGCTAATTTTCTCATCTTTTAAGTTTAAAATGATGTCTTTGTAAAAGGGACCAAAATTGGATATACGAGATTTGAAATAAAAAAAGTTAAAAGTTTTGAATCTCAAATTACCAAAAAAATATAGTATCAAGTTCTCAATTGTATTCTGGAAAATGACATTTTTACGATACCATCAAATAATTTATGTCGCCTATAAAATCTAACAATATTCGTCAAATACAAAATCATTAGTTTTAACGAAAATAGCATTGTATAAATGTGTAGATGTATGTAGGAATAGATCATATAAGAGGAATCACTAGTCGATGTGTGGGTTCATATTGTCTTTTGCGGTTTGTTTTGATTATCTAGAACCAGGAGTTAGGGAGTTGTGCTGGCATGTTTGTTGGATTTCAACTCTAGGATTTCAACTCTAAAGTATTAAGGAATACAAGTCAATGTAAATCTTCTTAAAAATAATGATCGCTTTGATTATAAATTGATTGGTAATGGTAGGTGGTAACCAAACCTTTGATCCCAAATGTCACATAGAGATTTTAACAAATATATTGAAACCTAGTAAGTCAAATCGAGATCGAATTCGTATACTTAAGTTTTCAAGTAACTATCATCTGACATCCGTAAATTAATTATAATATTTTCGGTTGTCTAAGATAAGGGTATAAATTAGTTAAGTCAAATGGAACTACCAATTAGATCCAATCAAGTATGTCCAAAAGATTATGCATCTGAACTCGTCATTTTTTGGCATGGTTTGTTTTAGGCCTGGGCAAAAATATGGATCTACATAGAACCAAATCGAACCGAACCAAAGTCGATGAGTTCGGTTCCGGTTCTAGTGAAAATATTGATTGGATCTTGAATCAAAGATCCATGGATATTGGTTCGCTTCGGGTAGGAACCGATATCCATTCGGGTACCCGAAAAATATAGCCCATTAACTTATATTTATATAACCCAAAGTTCCAAACTCATATAATCCTAAACCTAACTACCCAAGCTTGATAGCCCACCATAAACTTAACTCAAAGTCTCTCTTAGCCTCTTATATATTCTTCTCTGCGCCGAAACCTAAAAATCCTACTATGCTCTGTGATTCAAATTTCATTTCATTGATTGAATTAAAAGTCTTGTTGTGCATTTTATTTCAGGTTTTGTGGTGTTTTTTTGATACAATCTTTGCAGAGAAGAAGAAGCAAAAGATTGTAATTTGAAACAGAATTAAAATTCGGGGTTTTTTTGGTGGCTTTAAAACTTATGTTTGTGGTATCTTTGAAACTTTAGGTGTCTTTTGACCTAATACTTTCCAAGTTTCATCAATTTTTTTGGATTTGTAATGGTATGATGACTAATATGTGATGTTGTATTGCATACTTACACAATTGCATTTGAATTTTGCATTGTAATTCTATTGTTATTTTCGGTTCCAAAAATAACCGAAACAATTTGGTTCCTACTCGGTTCCAACATTTACTATCCGAACCAAACCGAACCGAACCAAATAGGAACCGAATCAGAACCGAACCGATTTTGATTTGATTCCAATATGATTTCTAAATCTCAGAATCAAAATACCTGGAACCGAATGGTTCGGTTCGAATACCCAAACGTCCAGGCCTAGTTTGTTTATACAAACTAAAGCTTATAATATAACAGAAGCTTGCAAATAAACATATAGTTTTTCTTTAAAAAAAACATATAAAACTTATAATATAACAGCAAATAAACATATAGTTTTTCTTTAAAAAAAAACATATAAAACTTATAATATAACAGAAGCTTGCAAATAAACATATAGTTTTTCTTTAAAAAAAAATATAACGATACTTTATAGTTGATACTTGATACCGTGACATAGAAAACACATAGGTGTGTAGTGTAATTGGTCCGATAAAGGTCCCAAAATAATATGGGGACTCATTTGAAGTTTGGGCCTTTGTCTCATATTGAATTGAATAAGCCCGTTAGGCGTGAGTTATCTAATCACCCTTGTACTTTTAACATGGGGAAAAGATCATTAGAAAGCCTATGAATTATGATGGAGTATTTTTATATGGGGGTGACATGTACAAAATAATATGCCGCAACGTTGAATTTGAAAATTGAAAATTGAAAGTTGAAATGTTTACGAGATTAGGGTGGATAATTCAGTCCAGTTTGACAAAATTTCAGTTTCGGTCGGATTCCATTGGATTTTAGATGGAAAAAAATCATGATAAAAATCAATATATTTGAATGTATTTTCTATATATTTAGATAACATTAATTTATAGTGTTCGCTTTATTCGGTTTGGTTGCAAAAGAATTGAGTTTAGTTCAAATAATCCTGTACATAAATAACTACATCAATCATGTTATATAATAAAATTCCGTTCATATTTCACTTGATGAAATTTAGTTTGATTCGCTTTGCTTTGTTCAATTTCCTAAATAAGCCACTACTGATTTTAATCTTTGTCTACATCATCATGAGTTTGTTAAAGAGTAAAAAAGAACATTACAAATGATTGTTACTCACATAAAATGCCTTAGAAACCCTATAAAGAATCGAAATTGACTCTCTAAAGAAAACACAAGAACGAGAGAATCACCCTACCTATAGAAAATTCTACTTATTTAGAAAAATTGACTCTCTACTTATTTAGAAAAATAAATATAACGAAATTGTAACAAAAAATCGATTATAGAAAGTTTTATTGCTTCAGGTTATCACCTGCCTTAGCCTTTTATCTACTATTCACAAGTTTCTTTGGAAACGTATAACATCCATAATTAAATCATTTAAATATTATATGAATTAATATAAAACACTTAGGAAAATAACCAAAAATAAAATATAGATAAATTATGAATCAGTTAAAAAGTACATAAAAATATCAGAATGTCACAGGAAAATTAAATTAAATTTTTCTTACATAACGCTTTTTTATCGCAATATTTTCTTATATGCATAAAGTTATTTTGTATAAGAAAATTCGTTAAAAAGTAGAAAAAAAAAGAGATATATAAATAAAAATATTATTATCGTCCTATTGCCATAGGCGTTGCTCACAAAATATAAAGCAAAGTCAGATCTCACCCAACCAAAAAAAAAACTCAGATCTCACGATTTTCTTCCTTCACATAAACACACCATCATGAGATTACCAACGTCGCTGCTCCTCTTTATCGGAGCTCTCATCTTCTCCGGCGCCGGAAATGTCAGATCCGATGCCTCAGACCACCGTTACAAGGACGGCGACTCCGTTCCTCTCTACGCCAACAAAGTCGGTCCGTTTCACAATCCCAGGTAATTCGAATTCTAATCTAGCTCCGTGTCGGTAGCTTTGTTGCTTAGATCTGTGATTCTCATTGATGAGTGGTAAATTGATCGCTGTAGAAGCTGCGATTGTATCGAATTTTGTATCTGACCTTGAAAACTTCGGTTCGTGTTCTAAATGTGTGATATATAATTCAAGAATTGTTGTGATAGATCTTCGATTTCATTGTTATATGACTGGTTTAACTTGTGTTTGATGATTGTTGCAGTGAGACGTATCGCTATTTCGATCTCCCATTTTGTATTCCAGGTACGAGCACGCTTTTGTATCTACCTGAAATTGCGAAATAAGCTCAATGTTGTTTCTGTTATGTGAAGTTTTCACTCTCTTTTTTCAGATTTGTGTATTTTGGTGTCATATGATTGTTTTTGGTTTGTGTAGATGGTGTGAAAGATAAGAAGGAAGCTCTTGGTGAGGTTTTGAATGGGGATAGGCTTGTTAGTGCTCCATACAAGCTTAACTTTAGAGAGGAGAAAGACTCAGATGTTTACTGCCGAAAGAAGCTTAGCAGAGAACAAGTCGAACAGTTTCGAAGAGCTGTTGAAAAAGATTATTACTTTCAGATGTATTATGATGATTTGCCTATCTGGGGATTCATTGGAAAGGTTGACAAAGAGAGCAAATCTGATCCGAGCGAGTTCAAATATTTCCTCTACAAGCACATCCAATTTGAGATTTTGTATAACAAGGATAGAGTGATTGAAATCAATGCTAGAATGGATCCTCATTCGCTTGTGGATCTTACTGAGGATAAGGAAGTCGATGCTGAGTTTATGTACACTGTGAAATGGAAGGAAACTGAGACTCCTTTTGAGAAAAGAATGGACAAGTATGCTATGTCTTCTTCTCTTCCACATCACTTGGAAATCCACTGGTTCTCCATTATTAACTCCTGCGTCACTGTCCTCCTTTTGACTGGTTTCCTTGCAACCATCTTGATGCGGGTTCTCAAGAATGATTTCATGAAGTAAGTTTTGAATGCTAACTTGTTACTCTTCGCGCTTGACTCATCGATGCACACTTTTGTTTCCAAATATTAACTTTTTCCCCAACTTTCAAAGGTATGCTCAAGATGAGGAAGCTGCTGATGATCAAGAGGAAACTGGATGGAAATACATTCACGGAGATGTCTTCCGTTTCCCAAAGCACAAATCTCTCTTTGCTGCATCTCTCGGCAGCGGTACCCAGTTGTTCACTCTGTAAGTCTCTTTTCAGCTTCCTTCGTTTATCTTTAGTTATTCTTTACCATTACTAACTGTTATATACCTCATATGTCATCAGGACCATCTTCATTTTCATGCTTTCACTTGTTGGAGTGTTCTATCCATACAACCGTGGAGCACTCTTCACCGCTTTGGTCGTGATCTACGCTCTCACATCTGGAATTGCCGGATACACTGCCTCCTCTTTCTACTGTCAACTCGAAGGAAAGAATTGGGTATGTAAACCCTTTCCCTTAACTCTTGTCAGCATAAAGTGATAAGCTTTTCATTTCTCAACATTCTTCCTTTGCAGGTGAGAAATTTGCTGCTTACGGGAGGTCTCTTCTGTGGCCCACTATTCCTCACCTTCTGTTTCCTAAACACAGTTGCAATTGCCTACAGTGCAACTGCCGCTCTTCCCTTTGGAACCATTGTAGTGATCGTCCTCATATGGACACTAGTCACTTCACCTTTACTTGTGTTGGGTGGTATTGCCGGTAAAAACAGCAAAGCTGAGTTCCAAGCTCCAGTCCGCACCACTAAGTATCCTCGGGAGATCCCGCCACTCCCATGGTACAGGAGTGCTATACCTCAGATGGCCATGGCCGGATTTCTTCCTTTCAGTGCCATCTACATCGAGCTATATTACATCTTTGCCAGTGTTTGGGGCCATCGTATCTACACCATTTACAGCATCCTCTTCATCGTCTTCATCATCCTGTTGATCGTCACTGCTTTTATAACAGTTGCCCTTACTTACTTCCAACTCGCTGCTGAAGATCATGAATGGTGGTGGAGGTACATTTTTCCACCCAATCTGGTTTTCATTTCGGTTTTTGATATATGGAATATAGAAACCAAATGGTAATACCGAATACAAATAGCTTAGATTTGCTATGGTTTGTGTTTCGAGTCACAATCGGTTTTTCTTTTATATACTTGTTTCGGACTGGTTTCTTAGGTAGGGTTTCGGTTAAACCTGATAGGCACATTTACTAAATCTTTCCGTAGATTTTAAATCCGAATTTGATTGGTAATAATAAAGCTACATTGTTATAGTTTTTAATATTCTTTATTGCAGATCATTCCTATGTGGTGGATCGACTGGTCTGTTCATCTACGCTTACTGCTTATACTATTACTACGCAAGATCAGACATGTCCGGTTTCATGCAAACATCCTTCTTCTTCGGTTACATGGCTTGCATTTGTTACGGTTTCTTCCTCATGCTTGGAACTGTTGGCTTCCGCGCTGCTCTCCTCTTCGTCCGCCACATTTACCGGTCGATTAAATGCGAGTAAAACTGTTGCTGCCAATCCACCTTCCCTTACGATTTTTGGTAGAACAAAGAAGATGATAATCTGTCATTAGGTAGATAAAGAAGAAGACTTCTTCGAAGCCAGAAACCGAATACCAAAATCGCTCTATGATCACATTTTCTTAGGGCGATTTACCCAAAAAGTGCTTAAGCTTTTTTTTTTCCTTTTGTTATAATGTCTTGTGTCAGTTTGTTTTTTTGTGATACTCCCTCTGTTTTAAAATATACGATGTTTAAGTTAAAAACACATCTTTTAATAAATTTATTGTTGCTTTTAAAATTATTATTTAATATTTAATTTTTAAAAATCTAACCAATGATATAAAATACTGCATAATACAAATAGTCATAACATATCAAATGTATTTAAAGGTTGTATAGAAATGTGTAAAACATCCTAAAACATCTTATATTTTGAAACAAAAAAAATCTTTAAAACATCATATATTTTGAAACAGAGGAGTATGATTTAGAGACGAAACTATGTTTGTTTAGGTGAATTCTTTCTGTCTTCTCTACTACTTTAGGGACTTGTCTTCTTTTTGGTAATTAATTAACTTTTGTATCCTTTTTTTTAATATATAAAGATAATTTTCATGAACCAAAACCCTAAATCAAAAGCTAATCTATTCGATTAAAAATTTATGAGAAATATGTTTTTGTGATCTATCTAAACAAAGAAGTGAGGGATGACAAGAAAACACCGAAGTGCCACCATTTGCGCAGCCGTGGAGACTTAATGATCCTGACCTGACAAGTCATGCAATCATAGTACAACACACTCAACTCGTGTCTCCACATGTCGTAATAATCCCTTATGTCTGCATTGCCACTGTAACGACCGTAGATCATTGCCGTTTCTAACGGTGGTCTTTGACGATTTCTTGTAACCCACAATGATGCGTTGACCGTCTCTAGCTTGCAACTCCCTGGCCGACTGCAGCATCCAGTCTAAACAACAACAACAAAAAGATCTATTTTTTAAAAGTTCAGCCAATCATAAAAGAATAGGGGTGTCAAAATGGTTTTAAATTGATGGATTAATCCAAACCAATCCAACTCATAGATCTAATGAGTTGAAAATTTGGATATTAATGGATTAATGGATTAAATGGTTTAATGAGTTTCATGAGTTGGATTGAAATGGTTTGGTTAAAATGGATTAATAGGTTATCCATAACCAAACCAATAAAAATTAAATAATTGAATATCAAATATATAAACCAAATATAACCGAATTGAATAGCTAAACCGATTTTAGTAAACCGAAACAAACATAATTTTCTTAAATCGCTTAACCTTCGATCTCTCTCGGCGTCAAATCTCTCACTGTCGATCTCTCTCAATCTTATGGTTTCACCGGCAAATCCATCGACAACGTTAAACGACGAAGCCAACAACGCCGTTCACCGGCAAAGCCACTGACACTCGAATCCCTCATCGCCACTCATGGAGTCTTTGGTCGTCGTTTTGGGACATCGTGTCGAACTGTCGATTGCGTTAGTGTAACCGTGTTGCAAGCGTAAACCTTTTTTTTTGATCAATTTATGAACCAATGATCATAGATACAAGTATTTCGATGGCATTGATAATGACAATTTCGACTACACTCTATGACGAAATTTCGCTATGGTGAGTGATGATCAAATTAGTTGATGATGTTGATGACGATGACGATGACGATGACGATGACGATGACGATGACGATGCGGTGACGATGACGATGACGACGACGACGACGACGACGATGACGATGACGACGACGATGACGATGACGACGATGACGACGACGACGACGACTGTGATGGTGATGGTGATGGTGATGGTGATTGTGATGATGACGACGACGACGATGATGATGATGGTGGTGAATTGATGATGATGGAGTGATGAAGATGATGATGGAGTGTTGATGATGATGGTGGTGGTAACATGATAGTTACTAATTATCAATTAATTAGGATTTAAATTATAAGAAAACTATGTTATGGATCAACTCATTAAATCCATTAATCCATTCATTTAAATGAGTTATGGGTTAATCCAAACCATTTGCTAAATGAATTGGATTGATTCATTAACCATCTCTATACTATTAAAAGAGAAGTACAATTGAAAATGGATCGGGTTAAAATCAGAAAATTGACCCGAAATTCTGAAATCGGATCTTTGAAATTTTTTTGGAATATAAATTCGAATTAATAATGAAAAATTGAAATAAAAACAAATATTTATGGAAATCAAATAAAATCTGATTGTACTTATGGTAACTAATAATAATAAAAGCATATTCCAAACAATATTATACATTAATTACGTATAATAAATTTGTTCATATATTTTTGGGACTAATTCCATAACAATCAACGTTTTTGTCATTAATTTCGCTCATTTTAGCCAATTATCATTAATTGAAAGATATTTTACTTGCTTCTAAAGATTTCTAGAAAATTTATCACAAATAACCCATCTGTTTTATAAATTAAATTGATATTTTTATTTTGGTCGTGTAAATTAAATAGATATTTTTATTTTGGTCGTGTAAATTAAATAGATATGAAATCCATGTAACTAATTTTAATTTAATTAGATTAATCGAAATTATGATATTTTCATACCTATAGCTTACCAAAGAAGTTTAATTTTCAATTTATAAAGATTTCTTGAATATGATTTTAGAATTATTCAACAAGATGATAAGTATTTATTAAATTTTGTGAATCATGAAAAAAAAATTAATTTTTAATCATTATACTTCATCTTTCAATCTCTCATCTAACAAATAAGATACATATTCTTTTATTACTATGTCCAAACTTCATTTTGTTGTATGACTAAATAATATTCCCATTAGAACTGTCAAAGCGAGTTGATTCGTCCCGTTAAGTCCGTTTTGCGATAGACAAAAAATATTTTGACTTGTAGTTAGTCGGTCCGCACGACCCGCGGGTAGCATATATGAAATACAAACCCGTCCCGCGAATGTGCGGATTTGCGGGATTGTCTATGGATTTTGTTTAAATAATTTTAAAGTAACCAAAATTTAAAATACTACTAAAATAAATAAATAAATCAAAATACTATTAAAAGTTTGTTTAAATTACCACATGTTGAATAAATTATAATTTTATCAATAAATACTAATATGCGGGCTGATCCGCCAACCCGCGGATGAAAACTGATTAAACCTATGACCCACTGCGAATTAATCCATGTGGCCTGCTTATTTGCGGGTTTAATATATTTTCTCAAATCTGCCCCATAGTGAGATGATGTGGGCTCGACCCGCGGTTTTTGACTTATTTTGACTGCTCTAATTCCCATGAATCGTCTAATTTTAGAATTTTAAAACACAAAATTCTATTTTGTAAATCATAATTAATACGATGGGTATATTTATAAACAATTTTACATTTTCTCTACAATTCGTTATTATGAATATTTATAAGTATACTACACGATTCGTTCTACTAAAAAACACACACAATATTAAACGCAACGTATGTAAATCAATATTCTCCCGCGGTGGATCGCGGGTCCGATCCTAGTTAAACACTAAATCAATATAGATATTGGTTGGTTTGGTTTGGTTTAACCAACTTGACACCCCTATAAAAGAGACTGCATAATAAAAATAATTATTAAATATTAAAATAATATATAATTTGCATAGAAATTTGAAAACGACTTATATTTTGAAAAAAAAAAGTTTCTCCAAAACGCCTTATATTTTGAAACAGAAAGAGTAATATATAAATAATGGTTTTCTCTTTCGTCATATCTTATTAGGGTTTAGTACTAGTATTAAGCCTTGCATATCACGGCTTCAAATATTAAAAAACAAACTGGAAATTGGATAAATAAATAAATAAAAATTGGAAAACATAAACCAACAATTCTTTTAAAAACTACTACCATTCTAGACCTACATCATATTTTAAAGTTTTTAAGAGTAAAATCAATATATATTAAGATGTATAAAACAGAAATTGTTGTGAAATATGCACTTAGATTGTAGAAAACAAGAAACAGCATACAGATTCGAACACAAGAACATCTTCATATCATGATATATGAAAAAGGGTGACCACTAATTTGGATAAATTCTTAAAACTAAACTAATCAAATCTTAATTTGGTTAAATTATTTTTTGTTCTCTCTACCTAAAAATCTACTCCCTATGTTCCTACAAGATTGATTTTCTAGAGATTTCACAAATTTTAAGAAACAATCATTGTTTAATTATTTATTTTTATTAAACATTTTTAATAAACTATGAACCAATAGTAATCTGAAACAGTTAGTCATTACGTCTTGAAATATACGATTTATTAATATCAATTAACTAAAAATAATAAAAAAATATAGAAAATCAATCTTTGTGGAACAAACCCAAAATAGTAGAACAACATATTGATGTATTCTTAATGAGTTTTATATCAAGATGAAGAGAAACAGAAAGCGACATTTATAGAAGGCGAAAAGTGAAGATAAAGCTATTGAAGTAGTCGTTGAACTAGTTCAGAGTAGTACAAGAAGTAGTTCAACAGAACAGAATTACGTGAAGCAAGTATTTGGAAAATTGGTAAAGTCGGTCTATGGCGGTTGGTTGTGGATACTAGAAGCTTGGAGAAGATTTTAGAAGACTGAAGAGTTTCCTTTTCATAGGAGGAAAAGGAAACATGAAGAGAAAGGACAATTTCCTAATCCTTAAAGAAAAAGGAAATTGTCTATTCATATTAGTGTTAGAATAGGAAATCGGCTTGTTGTATAGCCACGACCTATTTAGTAGAAATAGGGTGCTTAGGCTTTAGAAAAGCTCAGCACAAGAGCACGAGAATTCTTAGACATTAAAATTATGGGGTTTCTTGTAAGAAAGAATAATGCTTAAGAGGGCTAAGGGGTTTATCTTGAGAGAGTTCTTGATCGGGTTGTGATCTAAGAACGAGAGATTGAGAGAATAGAAAATAGTTTAAGGAGGACCTTATAAACGTATTTTCTATTAATCAAAAGAGTTTTTGAAGAAACATGTGTCTCAGTTCTTGACTCAGTTTCTGACGTACACCATGAACTAGTTTCCATACATACGATAGCTCTTGCACTTTCACATCAAACTTGTAGGAACATTGGGAGTATGATCGAACCGAACTGAAAAGGTATAAAAATCGAACTAAAATCATTTTTTTAAAATCAAAGGTATGTCTAAATAAAGTCAAAATCCCATCTAAGATTTTAACAAACTGATACCTATATTAGATTTGATAAATATCAAAGTACTTATTATTATTCTAAAAAAGGATTAATTGATTCGTAAGTACCTTAACGGATGGTAACAATCTTCTATCATACGGTGGCAAGTCATAGCTGTCGACAAACCGCAAGTGAACTCTTTGCAAGCGTCCTTGACTTTGTTCAATCTTAACCACTTGATATTCTTCTGACCTACGTTGTCCATTCCTATATTCTCCCTTGAACCATATTGGAGTCGGAGGAAACCGCCGGCTTTCCATCTTGTACACACCGGCGTAAGCAAAGCCGACGAAGAAGACAATAACTAGAAAGTAGCTAAGCCGTCGTGGTCGGAGAAACATAGCGATGTTGCTAAGGAGGAACAAGGCGAGGAGAGAGACGCTGACGAGTGTCTGTACACGTGACATACTTTGGAAGCTGCTTCGGTAGAAAACGTGGTCGTTACGCATGCAGAAGAGATACAAGGCGTGGCCGACGAGAGGAGCTGAGAGAATGAAAGTGATGATCGGAAAGAAGATTCCGGCGACTAGATTCCATGACTTTTGGCTTTGACTTCATTATTGGACAACTTTAAGGACTGATTTGATTTTCGTATGATCAAATCCCTTGTACGAATTCATTTATACAAGTTACTTATGCAATCAAATATTGACACGTGGAAAATTCATCCCAAAAAAAGATTAAAGAAAATTTGATATTTTCAGAATAAAAAAGGAACAAAAATTCAGAAGTAATTGTGGGCCGTATCGTAATTGGCCTTAAACAACAATCCGATGTTATGTCAGAGGTAGAAGACTAAACAAAAAGACAGGGGTGCTACTTAGGCCTGGGCGTTCGGTTATTCGGTTCGGTTCGGTTCGGTTATTCGGTTATTTAGTTATTCGGTTTTAGGCACTTAGCATCCATAAGAGAACCGAACTATTTTCGGTTCGGTTCGGTTAGTTTTCGGTTCGGTTCGGTTTGGATACTTGGGAAGAGAACCAAAAAATAACCGAAATACTTTCGGATATGGTTCGGTTCGGTTATTTACCCTCAAATAACCGAACTATCCAAATAACCGAACCATTATCCAAATAAAACTTGAGACCGCAACAAAATAACAAAGTTCAAACTTCAAAGAGACTTAAGAGTTTAGACTTGAGACCGCAACAAAATAAAATAATCAAGTTCAAAAGAGACTTGAGAAAGAGAGAAAGAGAGAAAGATAGAGTAAAAGATTATTAGATTCTACAAGCATCTTCAAGTCCTTGAGTTGATCTTCCATTCTTCTCTCCCTGTGACACAATCACACAATGGGCTTGGGCTTAATGGGTTGGGTAAGTAAGGTAGGGATTAGGCAATGGGTTGGGTAAGTTGGGTAGGGAAGACAAATGGGCTTTAGGCCTCATAAATAAATTATGTTTGGTTTAAAGCGGATATCCATGGATATCGGTTCGGTTAATAACCGATATTCGTGGATAGTTTAGAAAGAGAATCATTCGGTTATTTTGTGACACCCGAAACCAAAACATTCGGATAGTTTCGGTTCGGTTCGGTTCGGTTTGGGTTTTTATGCCCAGGGCTAGTGCTACTTATAGGATGATCGAAATCATGATTTCTCCAACACAATTTTTAAGTTTGATTCTATTTTTAAAAAAATCACATCTTTGGGATTGATGGTAATAATTATGATATCGCTTTGACGGGCCAACACCTAAAATACTTTTCACACTTGGTCAATTCTTAAAACAAACAAAGGTTGTAATAAATTTGACAAATTTTTTTTTTTTGTTTTTCACTGGAATGTTTTATATTATACGAAAGATGTTACAATAAAAATACAAAGCCGGATAAACCGGAAATAAAGCCCAAGAGTGATATGGGAAACCAAAGCCCGAGAGTGATACAGGAAGCTAAAGCCCTATAGTTTTAAGGGAAACGAAGCCGGCATGAACTACTCATCCGGAACCATAAAAGAAAGAGAACAACAAGGAAAAACAAGCCTAAAACAAACAGGGAATAAGTCCGAAACTGAAACTAAGAAGCAATCCACACTAAGCCGACATTTAACCACAACATCTCGTCAACCACATTACCAAACAAAAGAAAAGAAGAGCTTTACAACGAGCCACTCCGTAGGGGATAAGGAACTCCCAACCAAACGGACAGCGGTACCACCTATTACGATGAAGACTATGTAATACCTTAATATTTCAATAAGGGCACAATCTAATATTTGTAAAACAAATAACATAGAACAAGTATCAAAAATCAAAAATACCGAAAGGATGATTGAAGAACGAAGATTCACGGTGGTAAACAGAGTCGAGAACGTTGATGATCTCTCTCCTTAACTCAAAAATCGCCCCGTAGTGTGTCGGTTTGATGACAATTAGAGTCCCAGGATAAAACTGTTTCTCCTTTTGATTGCAACACTCAAATCAAAAGCTAATCGAACACTAGCCTTGTGTTGTACTCTCAGACTCAAACTAGAAAAGAGAAGAAGAGGAAGGAGATTATGTTGGTGAACGATGCGTAGAATGAGAGACAATGACCATGACTTTATAGCACAAGAACTCCACGTCCATGGCATCAAAAAGGAGAATATATCACCTTAATGACACAATCAAGAGACTTAAATCTCACGATAAAGTCAAAAACGTTTTTGACCCTAATTGTCTCAATTGATTACACACAATCATTAAGGTAGATATTTTTGATTTAATCACTAATTTAAATCAAAATAAATTTGGGAAAATAAAATAATTATATGGGTTGTAAGCCCATTTCCCAAATTTCAAATCTCAAATCCAACCCATGTATGTTTGGATTTCTCCTCTAACTTCCAAAGTATACAATTTTGACTTTAAGTCAAAATTCCAAGCTAAGCAAGCAAGTTACTTTGGACTTCTATTTCTCATTCAAACGAACTCCGTTTTTGACATTCCAATACACCATCACGTAGTGCTCGCAACAATGATTCCATCGTGCCCAAGAACCGGTCATTCCGATGAACGTCTTCACCGGAAAATCCACCGTAACAATGGTCAAAACCATTTTGTCAAAAACAAGTTCCAACAGACTACCTCACATAGAAGAGTTCTGAGGAATCCAGACCGGCGAGAAAAGAACTAGGCCAATGACAACTATGTCACACCTACACTCCCGGAAACGGCGAAATCAAAGGTTTATGATTGTTAAACGCCTCGAAGGAAACCAGCCAAAGAACAGATGAGATCTCGATCAGATCTTTAGAGTAGAGACAAGGAGAGAACCAAATTGATCCGGACCACACCGAAGAAGATAAACGGCAGGAGATCGAACCGGACAGAAGCGAAAGCAACCACCACGCCTTGTAAGAGGCTAAACGAGACGAAGGCTAAAACACAAAAGACCGGAGCAAAGGACACTACTAGCAACAGAGACGACCAGCCACAAAAACGACATAAACCATCTAAGAACCATTCATAGACATGCAAATATAAACACTCTCTCGCAAAGACTGAAGCATAAGAGATACGAGATATCAAGACAACGCAAAAACAGAGCCAAAGATGCTCAGATCCAGCGAGGAAGGAACAACCTCCAAAGACAAAGGCAGCCCAAGACCTCACCACCACTATATCCGCCACAAAACCTCTCCGAAGACAGGTCCACCACCAGATCTTGACCTAAACACAAGCATAAAACTGACAAAACTAGTTCACCGTCATATCTCGGCCGTGAATCTCCAAATACATCAACTTCACGAGAGAATCCACCATCTATTCACTCTACCCAAATAACCATAAACTTTACAAGAGAGCGAGAGGGGCCTAACTCCGACGCTATGGAAGCCACCGGAGTCAGCCAACGCAAACTGCGCTCTAGATCTGTTTCTAGAGAGAAGGGAGAGCTTTTGAGAGGAGAGAAAGGAACCGTGTCCACAAATTTGACAAATTTATATAACATGTGTATGTAAAAGTTATTCAAAATTAAAAGGAATTGCATGGTAGTAACTATGCCACGTGTACAAAAAGAGACAGTGTTTACTGTTTTCAGTAAAAAAAAAAAGTTAAAAAGCAGAATGTTTTGACAAGAATTTAACAGGAAACAAAAACAGAGTACTCACCAATCATTTGAACACAGTGTAAAAAGAGAAAAGTGGATAAAGAAATGCGTGCCATTCACGACAGCTTTGGTCCCTCTCTCTCGAGCCTCCCGTCAAAAATAACTTTTTAACATGAATGCATTAAAAAAATTTACAAAATAACAAACAAATATTTCAATATTTCCTCGCATTTCCATGTGTTTTTGTTTCCTTTTTCACCTATTTTCTTTTATATATAATTTTTAATTGGTGATGTGAATCTAACAAGTAGCATGTGTGGTTGGAAAATAAAAAAAAATGATATGAATCAAACATTTATTTTTGACAAAATCTAACCCAATTACTTTTTTTAAAACTAGATTATTAATGAGTAAATCCTTCGTTTTACCGTTCCTATCTTGTTTAAAAATCTATGTCGAAATCCGAAACACTAAATGTTTCATATTAGAAATTCTTATAAAATTTAAACCTACCCATGACATTCAATTTACTATTCTACTAGTACCAGCCCGTGCTTTGCACGGGAAAACAATAATGCCAATAGTATTTTGTTTCTTTAAAATGTGCAACTATTACACTAATGAGTCTCTAATACATTGATTGAATGCTCAGTAACTCAATAGAAATCTCCCTCAACTTCACCCAAATCGTGATATAAAAGTGTCAAAATTTAGGAAACTTCCATTGTATTTTGATACAGCCAGAGATCGTACATAAATACAGTAACTTGTCATAGACATAGAGAAAAAAAGAGAAAGAATAGATGAGAAAGAAAAGCTATACGGAGCCAACAATAATAATGATGGACAAATGAATAACCTTCATATCAAAGCGATTTTAAACTTGAACATATAAGATGGTTACACATTTAAATTCTTTTGCACCCTACACCGTGGAAGAAGAGATGCCATGTCATGCCACCCATGATCTCAAATTGTTTTGTTTCTTCTTCTTCTTCTTTTGAATTGAAAGCCCCAAAACATTTGTTGTTTTGTTGCTTCTCTATACAAAATTGTTGGCAGAATTCCACGTTCATACAATTGATTCATCCTCTATTAAGCTGCATCCATTTTGTTTTTATATGATTCTCGCAAAGTCTTGTGGTCATTTTGTCGAGCAGCTGGTGTGCATAAGAAGATAAACCAAGTAAAACGTAACAAATCTGGAGAGCAAAGCCAAATATTTAATGATATTCATACCAGCGATTAGGTGGACGAAACTCAGTGTGTCGTGGGAAGTTAACATCTTCCGTCACATTAGGCATCGCAAAAGTCTCAACTTTCATTGTTTTCGTTATCCTTTCGTTTCTCTGTTAGAAATATTTAGAAGAAAGAATGGATCGGATCTAATGTTATGAGAAGAAGAAGAAGAAGTTATTGCATCGATTTTACTTTCATGAGAATGGTTTATACGGTTGCCATTGAAATCGTAAATTAAGTGGGAGAGGGTTGAGAGAGGGGAGAGGAAGTGAAGAATCTTAGGATCGTGGAAAGGAGCAGTTGCTAAAAAAGTGCAAAGTTTTTTTATCTTTTGTCAAAAAAATTTCAAAAGATTATCTGTTGATTTTTTTTTTCCGTCGATTATCTGTTGATAATAATAGTAGAATTGGTTTTTGAAAGTGAAAGAGCAAAATTTAAGACTTAAGCACACATGGTAGAAGGAGAGACTTGCAGTTTTTAAAAAGTGACTGTTGATTTAGTAGATATAGATTTAATCAGATTGACTAGGTTTTTGAATGATTTTAATAATTGAAAGCCTATATCTAAATTTGTTATGGTTATAGGCATGTTTTAAACGAATTAATTGACAATTCTTTTTCTCAATCACATTTAGCATGTCACTAGTACTAATAAAAAAGACTAAAATAATTAATCACCATTATCTTTTTTTAAAAAAAAAATTAATACCTAGTGTAGCCACATTTTTTTTTTCTTTTGAAATGTTATTATCTAGAGCATAACATGAAATAATACCTAATGCGTACATATTTTTGCCTCTAGCTTTTGACTGGTATACAACATTTTTCTTTGGTACAAAAATTTGACATAAGTTCACATCATATATATTATCATTTGTCTCCATTCTCAAAGATATTATCCAATTATTATTGACCTGAACCTATGATTTAAATCAACAATGATTCTTCAAATAGTTTTTTTAATCATTTGAACTTCAAGTCATGCTTGCTTGACCATTGACTTTTACACACATTTAAGAAATAATGATTTCTCCACTACATTTTAAATTTATTGGAAGTAAATATTAGTTTATTAGGTTTAGTGGCTACTGTCAAAGTCTCAAAATCTCATTCTCAACTTAAATTAGGCTGAAACATTTCTCAACTACGGCACTACATAGAGCTTCAATGGTCATAACAATTAGACAAAGAAGAAAGACAAAACCAAAAATTACAACCATGATAAGAGTCCTACTATTTCCATTATTTTAGAATTCACTTTTTTTTTATCACAATATGTTTTTATCACACATTGGGAAGTCTAACATTTCATGCCTAAGAAACAAGGGTTAGGTAAGAACCACCAGCTCTATTGGCTATCGTTGTATCTAAATTTTATCATTGCATTGTTAACAAATTTTTTTTATCAGATCTCAGAAAAATGTGTGACGCTACCGGGATTTAAGATTATATAATACACTAATGATTTGTACCACCGAGACAATAGCAATATAGCATGTTTATATATTTTTAAAGATTTTAAAAGAACAATATACAATCTCTTTCATTAATTTATTATAGGTTGACGTGTAAATGCGCCTGTTAACATATATCATCAATATATGATATTTTTAAGGGGTAATTAGTACTTTTGGTCGTGTGCATGTGTATACAAAATTGTCAATACAGGTATATATAATGTCTTATTTGCATTTACATATATTATTAGTTATTTGTTGACAAAAAAATGTATTAGTTATATTTTTCAACAATAAAAATTTGATTCAAAATCTAATAAAGGTTTGAAAATCCAAGTTTGAGTTGCAAGTTGCAACACCTACATAAGCAAAAGCCTAAAACCTCTCTTTCCGCATTCTTTAAATTTCCGTTTGAGATCTTTGAATATCGTTGTCATTAGAAGCTTTCCAAACAATCCAAATAATCTAAAGAAAAACTATTTCTAGTGATTGTGTATTTAAGACTTATGATCATGATTTTTTTTTTAACAAGATCATGATTATTTAAGTCTCCAAAATAAATAATTAAAATTCGAGTTAATCGAATTTACCAAAAAGTATCCCAATGCCAATGTCATCGTGTTCGCGAATATTTAAGTGATTTAAGATTCTCTTCTTATATCCGCATCATGCACATTGTTGATCATAATTATCTTTCTGGATTTTTAACCTTGTTGTTGTTCATTAGAAATCTATAAAACATTGTGTAGCGCTCCTAAGTTTTGACGTTAATATCTTAGACTTAGAGAACCTAAACAAGACATCACATATCGACAAAAGAGAAGCCACAAGAATATTGCAACAACTGTTCACAGTCCACCGGAGCAGAATGTTGATCAGGAAATGGAAGACACAACCAGCGAGCAGTTTGGTGTCGAGGAAGGTTTGGAAGAGACAGATCAAGATAAAGTAGCTGAAGCGCAAAGTGAAGATCCGGAGGATGCCAAAGAAACAGGTCGAAAGCAGAGAGGTCCCCTTTTGCTTAAGGGGGTAAGCTCAAAAAAGAGAATTGTCCAGCTGTTGACTTCGCCTCGCAAGAGGACTACTACTAAGGAGGGCGATCAAGGGACTGAAGGTAGTATCCCGACGAACCATGGCACGGTGAAGGGAGCGACGGGTGGGGGTAAGCCACCGAGACCAAAGGTTGATAACTAAAAGTTTTAAGCTGGAATTGTCAAGGACTCGGTAATAAGGCAACTATCGGTTATCTTCGGGATTTATGGAAACAACATCGGCCGAATTTTTTATTTTTGTCGGAAACTAAACAATCCACTTCTTTTATGGAAAAATTTATTGGTCATTTTGGTTATAAAAATTTAACAACGGTGGATCCTATCGGTTGTAGTGGCGGTTTAGCTCTATTTTATAATAATGATTTCAATGTCTCAATTATTTATCAAAGTAACCGGTTAATCGATATTGAAGCAACCTACAAAGGTAAATTAATTAATCTCACTTTTGTTTATGGAGACCCGGTTCCCAATAAGAGGGAACAAGTTTGGGAGCGGTTAACAAGAATTAGTTTGGCTAGGAATACACCTTGGTTTTTAATTGGTGATTTTAATGAATTAACCGGAAATCATGAAAAAAGAGGTGGTAAACTAAGACATGCATCTTCTTTTGTCCCGTTTAATTTAATGATTCAAAATTGTGGTCTTTTAGAATTCTCATATATCGGAGATTGGTTATCTTGGCGAGGATGGCGGGAAAAAAAACCAGTACGGTGTCGGTTAGATAGAGCTTTAGCGAACGAAGATTGGCATGAATTGTTCTGTAATTCATTTGTCGAATACTTACAAATGGTAGCTTCTGATCACTCACCGATGATCACAACGATTGCGGATAAAATACCACGGGGGAAACGAAGTTTCAGGTTTGATAAGAGATGGATAGGAAAGGAAGGGTTACTTGAGGCAATTGAAAATGGTTGGAATTTGGATACAGAGTTAGGCGAGGGAAAGTTTGTGGAAAATTTGTCTAATTGTAGGCGAGCTATTTCGCAATGGCGGAGAGATTTAACTCCTTATGGTCGGAAAATAATTGAGGACTTAAAGTCGGAATTATATGTGGCTCAGAGTGATGATAGGAGATCACGGGAAGAGATTACGGAATTAACAATACGGTTGAAGGAGGCTTATAGAGATGAGGAAATGTATTGGCATCAGAAAAGCAGAAGCTTTTTTATGCAGTTAGGAGATAATAATTCATAGTATTTTCATGCCCTAACGAAGCAAAATAGGGCAAGGAATAGAATCACGGGGTTACATGATGAACATGGAATTTGGTCAGCAGAGGACAAAGATATTCAAAATATAGCGGTTTCTTATTTTAAGGAGCTTTTTACTACAACAAAACCTGAGGCTTTTGAGGAATCTTTGGCAGAAGTTCAAAATCTGATTTCGGATCAGGTTAATAATTTTCTAACGGCACCCGCATTGGAGAGTGAAGTGCGAACGGCTCTATTCATGATGCATCCGGAAAAAGCGCTAGGACCAGATGGAATGACCGCTTTATTTTTTCAAAAAGCCTGGATTACTATTAAAAAGGACCTTCTGTTCCTCGTAAACTCTTTTTTAGAAGATGGAATTTTTGATAAACGATTAAATACGACAAATATCTGTCTGATTCCATAAACGGAACGGCCAACACGGATGACGGAATTACGGTCCATCAGTTTATGCAATGTAAGCTATAAAATTATATCGAAGATTCTTTGTCAGAGACTCAAGACGGTTCTACCATCACTAATTTTGGAAACACAATCGGCCTTTGTAGAAGGACGATTGATTTCGGATAATATTCTCATCGCACAGGAGATGTTTCATGGACTGAGAACTAACCCTTCATGTAAAGGGAAGTTCATGGCTATTAAGACGGATATGAGTAAGGCTTACGACAGAGTGGAATTGATTTTCATTGAGAAAGTTTTAAGAAAATTGGGTTTTTGTGAAAAATGGATTAAATGGATAATGTGGTGTGTTACAACGGTCCAATATAAAGTTCTCCTTAATGGACAACCTAGAGGTCTAATTTTACCAGAGAGGGGATTGCGACAAGGCGATCCGCTCTTGCCTTATCTATTCATCCTTTGTACGGAAGTGCTAATTGCAAATATTAAGAAAGCAGAACGGGAAAAATTAATAACAGGAATCAAAGTAGCGAATGCAAGCCCTTCGGTCTCCCACCTGTTATTTGCGGATGATAGTTTATATTTTTGCAAGGCTAATAAGGACCAATGTGGGGTAATATTGGGAATTTTAAAACAATATGAAGCAGTCTCAGGACAACAAATTAATTTTTTTAAAATCATCTATTCAGTTTGGACATAAGATAGATGATGAGATTAAGGAAGAAATAAAGTCTACCCTGGGTATCACTACTATCGGTGGTATGGGATCATACCTCGGCCTGCCCGAGAGCTTAGGGGGTTCTAAGACAAAAATATTCTCTTTTGTGAGAGAGAGATTACAAACAAGAATTAACGGTTGGTCGGCCAAGTTTTTATCGAAAGGTGGGAAAGAAGTGATGATTAAATCGGTAGCTGCAGCATTACCAACTTACGTTATGTCATGCTTCAGACTACCGAAAACAATCACTTCAAAACTCACTAGTGCGGTTGCTAATTTTTGGTTGAGTTCGAATGGGAACTCCAGAGGTATGCACTGGATGGCTTGGAATAAAATGTGCAACAGCAAATCAGAAGGGGGTCTAGGATTTCGAAATGTAGATGATTTTAATTCAGCTTTACTAGCAAAACAATTATGGCGGTTGATTACGGTTCCAGATTCTCTTTTTGCAAAGGTTTTCAAAGGGAGGTATTTTCGGAAAACCAATCCTCTGGAGG